TAGTCTGAGGAACTGTGTTTCGGGGTAGAAGGAAAATAAGAAAACCTTCAGTGCAAGTTTCACACTAGTGAACAAATGGAAACAAAATGCTATCTGACCTCGTCCTTGTTTTTATTTTTCTTTCCATATCTAATAAGTTTGTGTGTGCAACTTTTTTTCTTTTTTGAAAGGAAAAAATGTTAAAATATTTAAACCATCAAACCATTATTTCGGTTACTTCTCCCCTCCCTGCTTTAATTGTCTGAAGTCATGGTTTTTACAAGTATTTATGAACACTTAGGAAAATAAGTCAAGTGATTTTTGTGCCATTTTATTTAATTTTGACAGTTGATCTAATATTCTGTGGATCCTCTTATTTTTACTGCTTACTCTATGGTGTATACTACATTGTCACCTAGAGGACAGAAATAGTGGTCCTGTGTTCAATTAACTATATGCTTCTTATCTTGATTGTGGTAATAGTTTTGTGGTTATATACTTGTATCCAAACTTACCTAATGGTACATTTTCAATATGTGCAGTCTGTCTGTCCATACCTCAGCAAAGCCACGTATCGTACGTACACACATCTTCTGGGAGTTCCAGTGCTGCCATCTTTAGGAGTTATGCTTTCATTTGGTATAGTTTAGCTTTGGTTTTTTTTCTTTTGTTTTTCCTGTATGGTTTTGGTTTTTACTTTTATGTTTCAGTTTTCTCAAATGTGTAAGCATTTCCTTTGAGTAGGGCAAATCATATATGGTCGTCAGTGTAAATACTGAAACTGATCATCTTTTGGACCATCAAGAACTAGTCTTTTTTGGTTGGTATCGGACACCAGCCAGGTTTCTGACATATATTTATTCCAAAGATTTAAAACACCAGAATGTTATTAGGTTCTTAGTACTAGCAACAACAGCCTTTAAATAAATGACTAAGTGTGACTATTTCTAAGTAGAAAGCAAAGAAATCTTATGTAATTTTAACTCTTTTATCTTTTTATAAATATTTTTTCTTTTCTTTCTTCTTATTTTAAAGTTCTTGCCAATGAGAGAAGATTATGCATCCAATAACCCAAACAAATAAACCCAGATATATACTGGGGTTTTTTTGTTCTTGTTTTTAACTACGATTTTTTTTTTTTTTTAAGTAAACTCTATGCCCATTGTGGGGCTCAAACTCATAACCCCAGGGTCGAGAGTCTCATGTTCTACTGACTGAGCCCCTATTTTTTTTTGTTTGTTTGTTTTTAAGTGTTGATTTGGTTGACTATAGAAGAGACCCTCCTAGTCTCTTTCATGACGTTAGTAGAAAAAAACTTTTTATTTAAAAAAACTGCATTCACAAGTTTTTCCATGTTTTTGTTTTTATGTGCAAGGTACATCCTAGTAAAAGACTTAAAATGCATCTTAACAACGTTCTGTTTACAACTGGATTAGCAAAATAAATGGAGACATTATAAAAAGTCGGTCTAAAAACAGATATCCTAAAATAATGCATGTGATTGCCTGGCTGAACTAGATAGTCTGGTTAAAACCTCGCCAAAATAAACAACGTAAATCTATGTTCAAGGTATTGGGGTATTTTTCCATCTCTCTGAACTTTGGCCCTGGTGGAAGATTGGCTGTAGGAGAAAGTTCTTGTGTATGGAAATCTTGTTGGTATTCCTTGTTTATTCTCATAGATGTTCAGAGTGTCTTTTGAGGAGCCTATGTAGTTCACCGTCTGCACTGGCTCTTTTTAAGCTTTTTGTATTTACCCTGACGCTGCTAATAGCACCGCAGAACGGTAGCAGCCCCAGCAGCAAAACCTGGTAAGCCTTATTTTTGTGATGGTGAAACAGGTGGACTCCTGCCCCTCTCTGCCTTCACCACCTCGAAACACTGTGCCTGCATCCTGTGTGTGCCAAGTGGCAAATGTGGGTATAATTTAAGTTCTCAAAAAATTCTGTCTTTGAAATAGTTTTGTGACCAGTGCTAATGTTTAGGTTCTTAATAACCAAACCAAGATCATTTGGACGGTTCATCTGGATCTCTAAAGAAAAACTCCTTTTGGTTGTAGCTTACATAGGTGGAATCCTAACCTGTATTTTAAAAGAAATTTTTGTTCCATCCTTTAAGGTGACCCTATAATATAATAGGTGACTGCCTAATCTATATCACTTTGCTACAGAAGTTTCCTCTGTGTGATACTTTTTCTCAAATACTGTATGCATATCCTAAGGTTAGAGGTGAACCGTCTTCAGCTTTACATTTCAATCATACTTTTTAAGTTATTGAAATTTTTCATACTCTTGAAATATATATTCAAAAAGTTTGTGTTGTGTCTCCTAAACATTCATCGCATATGTCCTTTTAGGGAGGGAGTGGGTCCTTTACTTTTGGATCCCCAAAAACATGTGTGAAAAGTACAGAGGTAGCTACCCCACCCCCCATTTCCTGATTTAGTACTGCACTCACTTACTTACTTACTTACTTACCAGGGCATTTGAAGAGTCTTGAGCTCTAGTGACGGAGCTAGCCTGGAACTCTTACCAAGACCGTTGAGATCAGATGAACTAAGACTGCCATGTCCTTTGTGAAGATGGGAGATAGATGGCTTTCTGAAGAACTGTAGAACATATTTAACTACCAAATACTGCTCACCATAAATATCCCACCACCCTAAACGGATTGCATATTAATTTCAGAAAGATGTTTTAGATATATTTAACATTTAACTTTTTTATTACTTTTAACTTTTTATTATTTATTTAACATTTTATTGTTTATATAATTATTATATAATAACTAACATTCAATTAAACCTTAATTCTGTAGTCTTAACTTTAAATACCACATAATTTTGAGTTACCAGGAAATAAGTAGTTGAACAGTAACTGATCCTATAAAGATAAGAATTTTTTATCATTAACCTGATTTTAATATAATAAAATAGGCCCAAAAATCTTGTCCTCCCATCCAAACTAACTTTTCTTTCCAAGTTCACTGGGAAGAGCACATTTCCAAAGATGTGTTAAGTTGAAATGACTGATCTTGTGACTTATTAGGAAGTCAAATTTGTTATGTTTTAAACAGGGAAGAGGAATTAACCCGTGTTTCCAAAAAGTAAAACAGAACCTTCTGACAACTGCTTTGTTTCTAGTTAGCATTGGCATATCTTACTTTGTGAGGAGGTAATTATATCTCTGCTCAAACAGAAGACTCTTTGTACTGTCTTTACTAAATAGAAAGGAATGCCTTCTGCCGGACCTTCTGCCCATGCATGTGTCACTTCAGTCTTGCACAGATGTGTGTTGTAAAGGCATCCGCACATGTCCTTGGCCACACAGTGTGTCATTTTACTACATATCTTGAAGGCTTCTTTTTTAGTTCATTTAACATTTGCACATTAGTGGTTTTATATTCAAAGTTTTACTTTGGGGTTAATGACTTTGTTGGGAGAGAGTTGGTCTAGAACTCTACCTCTTAGGGCCTTCAAAGACCTGACCTGGTCTTTGAAGGCCTTATCTGCCCAGTCTCCTTAACTTAGTAAGTCACATTCCCTTCTGATATGAGTGCGTACCTTTAGGAGTTATAATAGGCCTTGCGTCATTGAAGATTCAAATCATTGAAGGTTCTTTCCAGAGAATTTTAACTCTTTCTGCCATTTTATTCTTAAATTAGTAGTAAGAGGACTATTTTTACTCCATTTTCTCACCCCTTTTTTATATGACATTAGTCATATCAAAGAATTTTTAGAAAAAAAGTTCTCATCTGTCATTTTTAAACGGTAATTTTTACATGTTGTCTTTATTTTAATTATATATTCTTCTGAATTATCATCAGAATTATTTTGTCAAGTATGCCACAGTTGTCAAAAGCACCAAATACAAATAAATATATTCCTTAGACATGTAAAAAGACAGACCTGATGTTCTTTATTTCAGTAGCTGTAGGAGTCACCTAATGCTGTCCCTCCATTTCCCTAGCAGTAAAATTAAAATAATGTGATCTGTAAAGTTTTGAGATTCTTGAATGATTATGTGTTTACTAAAGTATTATTTTTGAGACAATATGTGTAGAATAACTATTTCTTCGCAGCTTGTATGTATTTTTCCTTGAAGTTAACAAATTAAATATTTGAAAGAGAACCTAATTATTCATAAATCCCAGTGTATGTAGTAAGTGGAAATATTTCTAAGAATGTTAGTAATAGCAGAAACTTAATGTGTTCTAGGCATTGTTCAGGCCACTTAAACATATCTTACTTAATCTTCATAACAACTATATAAAAGAGAAGGTCTAATATTAATCCCATTTCACATATGAGAAGACTGAGGCCCAGGACATTCCTTAGCAGGTGCTAGAACCAGGATTTGGGTCCAGTCAGTCTGATCCAGACCCTGAGTTCTCTCCTAACCCTGTCCTGCCTCTGCTTGCGCACATCCCGTGACGGGGTGCTCTTCCTTCCGAGTTGGCCCGTTCGGCAGCAGAGAGGTTCATTTAAAAGCTATTCTCTAACTGAAGTACTTAAGAATGAAATGATACGATGTCTGGGATTTGCTTTAAAATAGATGAAGCAGTTCTCACACCAAAAACTGCTGAAGCTGAGTGATAAGTAACCTGGGATCCATTATGCTGTTACTTTTCACTTTTGTGTGTGTTTGAAATTTTTCATAATAATCAGGTACTTTTTAAAAGTGACTCTCTCTATTAAACTAAAAAGTTCTGTAGAATTCTGGAATCTAGTGTCTTTGTTTTCATTTTAGTTTTTCTTTTGTGCAGTGATAATATTTGTTATGTTCTCAAAGTGATACTTAGCTGGCCTTTCTCATACCATTAGTTTTTTTAATAGTTTACTGTTACTCAATAGTGTTCTTAGTATTTTAACAATAAAGGACAACATTCATTTTCAGAGTTTCATGTTTCTCTATTTTATAATGTACAAGTACTGGTTTTTGAGAGTGTTCAACTTTGTCCAAACTTGTTTGAAACCATTACACCTAAACACACATTTAGTGTAATCTGTTTTTGTTTTTACAGGAGCCAAGCAATAAAAGAGTTCGACCTCTCGCTCGGGTCACATCCTTGGCAAATTTGATCTCTCCTGTAAGAAATGGAGCAGTCCGGCGCTTTGGTCAAACAATTCAGGTAAGCAAGTGATGGGGCTGGGAGGTGAGTAATGTAGTAAGGGGACTTTCTACAGAAGCCTAAAATTTTTATTTTTCTTTGAGTTGTACAAACAGTTTTACACTATTATATTTAAACATAAAGCTTTGTGTTTTTTTTTAACATGCTAGTAAGGAATATTTTTACGAGAACAGTATTTATATAACTCCATTATATTAAGTTACATCTTATATCAAAGCAGTCTTAGATAGTTTTTATTCCCAGAAATGTAATTTTGGCTGGTAAATATTTTAGAATGGTAGATTGAAGCTTGAGAAATTCTCAGAACTTTGTTTTTAATTTGTCTATTTTTTTAAGAAAAAGGAATAATTACTACATCCTTTAACCCTCTCTTTTGTTCACCTCTTTTTCTTGCTCTTTTCTTTGCCTTTTTTTTTTTTTTTTTTTTTTAATTTTAAGTCATTTACCCTTCGTGGTGACAGCAGATCCCCGGCTTCTGCCCAGAAGTTATCAAGCAGGTCAACAGTCCCAACTCCTGCCAAACGGAGAAGCCGCGTCCTGTGGTCAGAGATGTTAGACGTCAATATGAAAGAGTCTTTAACTACCAAAGAAATCAAACGACAAGAGGTGAGCTGGCATTCAGTAGCAAGGCTGTATTTATTGGCTTATCCTTAAAAAAAAATCGTCCCTGTGTTTTAAACATGTGTTTTGTCAGAAGAATAGCAAACTAATGCTTAAGACAGAAATCAGCTATGCTTTAATATCTCCGTCGTGACCCATCACCCACGCTGAGCAGCAGCACTCTTGACAAGTGGTGGTCCTTAAAGTTAACTCTCATGGAGTGAAGTTGTAAGACATAATGGCAGCCTCTTATTTGAGATTCCGTTCTGAATTATAGTCTTCACACGGAGTCACTTTAAAAAGCACTCTTCAAAACGTCAGTTAAATAATGATAAATATCCATTGTCTATAATTTTCCTTTCTCAAAAGAAGGAATGACCTATAATGTTTGCTGGATTTTTTTTTCCTCTTTAGGCGATATATGAAATGTCCCGAGGTGAACAGGATTTAATTGAGGATCTCAAACTTGCAAGGAAGGTCAGTAAATAACTTTTTATCACATGCCCTAGTCATAAAAAATTATATTTCACAAATTATAAACTTCTTATATGGCTTCAAATCTCTTCAGATATGAATATCAGTAAGAGAATGTGTTTGAGTAGTTCTTTTATGTATCACAAATAGAATCCACGCGTAGCTTTTATATAGTTAGTCATGTTTGCGTTCAAGGAAGGTCTCTCATCATGTTTTATTTGCTTGATTTCTTTGGTGACATACTTCTCCTCTTCTGATAGGCCTACCATGACCCTATGTTAAAGCTGTCTATTATGTCAGAAGAGGAACTCACCCATATATTTGGTGATTTGGACGCTTACATACCTCTCCACGAAGGTAAGAGATGCTATTTAATTTTCATTTCATATCTGAACAGCATTAATGAAGGTTGTTGTGGTGGTGGTGGTGGTTGTTTAGAGAGAGCAAACAGGGTGGGGTGGGAAGGGGCAGAGGAAGAGGGAGAGAGAGAATCTCAAGTAGGTTCCATGCCCAGGACAGAGCCTGACATGGGCTTTTTGTCATGACCCTGAGATCATGACATGATCTGAAATCAAGAGCCAAATGCTTAACCAGCTGAGCCACCCACGTGCCTCAACACAAGTTGTTTTGAATATAAACTTCTGATTTAGTGCTGAATTATTTATTTTCTTAAATAAATTTGTTATTGCTATTTCTGCCTTTTTTGCATTTCAGACTTACTGGCAAGAATAGGAGAAGCAACCAAACCTGGTGGAACAGTAGAGCAAATCGGTCCCATTCTTGTGAACTGGGTATGTAGTGAATTGCTTACACAAAATAGTTTTTGACATATATGCCAAGTAAACACCGTAAAGTTATGGTGTTTACTTAAAAAAATACTTTATGAATGATATGATTTTATTTGTTTTAAAAATATGTTCCTCTTTGGACACAATTCCCATGTAATCTGTTTTGTTCCATTAACATTTGAGTGCCTGCTAGATGCTAGGTGCTATTCTAGGAGGGACCATTGGGGATTCAGTGATGACCGACGTCTCTACATTTATAATCTCGAGAGAGGATAGTCCAGTACATACACAGTCTCAAGGGTGGTGATGCCCGTGGTAGAACAACTCAGATGCCCTGAGAATAGAGAAGACTAGCATCGACTAAGGCTGAGAGAAAGTAGAAGTCATGGGTCTTCAGTTGGATTTAGTCAAATTATAGGGAAATTAGAAAAGGACATTCTGATGTTCGCTCAGAACACTACCCTACCCAATTACCACCTGCAGGGAAATTTTCGCAGCTTATTTAAACTTTGAGAATTAGCTGTAAATTCTGTGTTTGTTTTCACAAAAACATGTATCATACCATGTTTTCTCTTACTCTTCTTCAGTTGCCAGGCTTGAATGCTTACAAAGGCTACTGTAGTAACCAGCTGGCAGCCAAAGCTCTTCTTGATCAGAAGAAACAAGATCCACGAGTCCAAGACTTCCTCCAGCGATGTCTTGAGTCTCCTTTCAGCCGAAAACTCGATCTTTGGAGCTTCCTAGATATTCCCCGAAGTCGTTTGGTCAAATACCCTTTACTGTTAAAAGAAATTCTTAGACACACTCCAAAAGACCACCCTGATGTTCAGCCTCTGGAGGAAGCTGTGAGTCCAGTAAATGATTCATATGTTTTTCAAGTTTATGTATTAGCTGGCCTTAGAAAGGTAAACAGTGATACTCTCAAGTCTTAGGCATTGGGCAGCATGGTGAAACGTTCTGTTGTTTTTTTAAGTACCCAATACAGTAATGCACTAAGCCATAAAGAGACCGAACGCACTGTTTACTTACATTTTAATCAAAAGACTAGATGCTAATATCTGCTCTCTTCCACTAGCTAGCTGTGTAACTTTGGGCAAATCACCTAATTTGGCTGAGGCTGTTTCATTTGTAAAATGAAGGAACTAACTGAACCATCAGATTTCTAGAGTCCCTTCAAGCTTTTAAGTCATTTTAGTAGAATGTTTTAGCCCTGCAGGGAAACAGAGTAAAGTTAATATGCTAAAGATGCTTCATTGATTTCCTGATTTTTAGATATTGATAATACAAGGAGTTCTCTCTGATATCAACTTGAAGAAGGGTGAATCAGAATGCCAGTATTACATTGACAAGCTGGAGTATCTAGACGAAAAGCAGAAGGATCCTAGAATTGAAGCAAGCAAAGTATTACTCTGCCACGGGGAGCTGAAGAATAAAAGTGGACATGTGAGCATATTTTCATACTCATTAATCCAAAGCTATTCCTTTCATCCTTCTACTTTGTTCAGTTTTTTCTGCCTAAGTCATGGATCAGGCTTTAAAATAAATTCATCAGACAGTGAAAGAAGGTTACTGGTTTTTATTTTGTGTTAACAGCTTTCATAAAGCAAACTTTGGTTTCTTTTGTGACAGAATGACTTAAATGTCTTGGGGGAGAGCAGTTTATACATTATTTTTTAGTTTTGAAGCATAAATCAACTTGTTTGGCTAGGAGTTCCTTTCTAAATAAATTACAAGTTTTATAATAAAGCATATCCTTCAGAAAATTTTTCAAAGAGTATATAGTGATAGAAGTAGCTTTTAGCACTACTAAACAAATTTCTACAGTAGATTGAATGAAAGCAAACTAATTTTTTAAATATTAATTATAAAAGTACCTGCTAGAATAAAATGTAAGCATGGAATTTTTTTTTTTAAGACTTATTTATTTATTTGTGACAGAGAGCACCTGAGCTGGGGGAGGGGCAGAGAGAGAGGGAGAGAGAATCCCAAGCAGATTCCATGCCCTGAGTGGAGCCTGACATGGGGCTCGATCTCATGACCCTGAGATCACGACCTGAGCCAAAAACCAAGAGTCAGACACTTAACTGATTGAGCCACCCAGGCGCCCCAGTGGAATGGTATTTTTTTTTTCATTAGGTGCTTTTCAGAAAGAAGCCCAGTTATTTGGGTTTGGGGTTTTTTTAAGTTTTTATTTTAATTCCAGTTTGTTAACATACAGGGTAGTACTAAGTTCAGGTGTACAATATAGTGATTCAACAATTCCATACATCTCCAGTGCTCATCACAAGTGCTCTCCTTCATCCCCATCACCTGTTTGCCCCTAGAAACCCAATTTATAAGTTGAGGTTCTTTTCGGAAAAAGTTGAAACCTGACATCTCTGATTTCTATCATGAAGCCTAATTGTTCTATAAAGCTTACATTTCTGTGGGACAAAAAGAACCATTAACATTTACCAGCTTGCATTTTTTTAATCCTTATATTGTTAGAAAACTGGTATACAATACTGGTGTTCCAGGTGTGTTACTATTGGTAGGTCTTTGTGGTGCATGGAGTTTACTCAGCTGCTCCTTAATCTAATGTTACATACTGATAAAAATAAGTTTTATATCATCTGAGATTAGAAAAGTTCTCCAAGTAGAACATGCGTAGCCTTGAAACCACCGTCTTTATGGGGTCATTTGTAAGGATGGATTTCACTCACTTAAAATCACAAAGTTTCACATTTAGGATGTATTTGTTTCTTGTTTCTCTAGAAACTTTACATATTCCTGTTTCAAGACATCTTGGTTTTGACTCGGCCTGTTACACGAAATGAGCGTCACTCCTACCAGGTTTACCGGCAGCCGATCCCTGTCCAAGAGCTGGTCTTGGAAGACCTGCAGGATGGAGATGTGAGGATGGGAGGGTCCTTTCGAGGGGCTTTCAGCAACTCAGATAAAGGTAAAAATACAAGCTTTAAGGTAGTTTACAGAAACAGAAACTCAGAATGTAAATGAATTTAGCTTCAATCTGTAAGAATTCTGTCCTTACACAAGAAGTTGTTAATGAAATGGATTTCGTTGTCCTGTACCTACGTGTTCCGCCCCTGAAACAGTTGTCAGTTGCATCGCATAAGTGACTGGTGGGCCTGGGATAGGAACAGCCCCACCCGTAGTAAGACTGTAGGCTGACTTCATTTTTCAATGAACTTTTCAAAAAGTCTTTTTTACATTTTTTATTCTTCTAGCTAAAAATATCTTTAGAGTTCGCTTCCAAGACCCCTCTCCGGGCCAGTCACACACTCTGCAGGCCAATGACGTGTTCCACAAGCAGCAGTGGTTCAACTGCATCCGCGCCGCCATTGCTCCTTTCCAGCAGGCTGCTGGCCCAGCCGAGCCGCAGGGCTTGCCGGAGCTCCACGAGGAGGGCGAGGAGAACAGCCCCTCTGCTGGGAACGTCCGAGCCCAGAGAAGGGCGTCCACGGCCTCTAGTGTGACTCAGGTCCAAGTCGCTGGAGACGCTGCAGAGAGCGGCTGCCCAGTGCACACGGCAGAGGACGTGAAGAGTGCGAAAGTTCACCAAACACAGCCTGGCTTCCGAAAGGCCAGAGACAGAGCCCAGTTCAGTGGCAAACGGAAAGAGACTCTGGTATAAAGGAAGTTCTGTGTATTAACTGGTGGAGAGACTGTTTATTTATAAATGTGTACAGTTTGTTTTTTCTTGTAATGTGAGCATGGGAGCACTGCAGGACTGCTTAATACCAGTCTTAACATTTGCTATGTTTTTGGTTGGTTTGGGTGGTTGTTCCTTTTTTTTTTAATGGCAGCTAAAGATACGTGCAGATTGCTATTAGACTGTAGCCTTTTTTTTTTTTAAAGATGTTTTCCCCAGATTATTTAGAACATGCAAATCTGATCTTTTTAATCAAATGAAATATTTATGAAATGGATTTTCTCCTTATCCTGCATTCATCATGATTTTCTAGTACCAGCCATTGTGATATTTACAATATTTGCCAAAAACCAAAGTTTTGCAAATACTGGGATTTTACCAGTGTTTCTCTGATCAACTTTGTTTGCAGAATTTGAAATTGTAGAATTGGCACCTAAAATCTTCCTGCAGTATATGTTTATGATATTTCAGAACTTACACTGAAACATAAAACTCATCAAGTTTTCCATTTTATCAACTGGAATGCCTTATATTTGTTTTTCACTGCACATTCCTCATTTTTCATCCATTTAACCTGCCAATTATTTAATTTTTTTAATCTGTAAAGTAGTTTTTAGTGTCTGCTTTTATTTTTTTACTTTGATGCCTTTGCCTTTTCAAATTGGCATGTCTTTATTTTCTTCTTTGATTAAAAATGTGTGTGTATGTATGTGTGTGTACGTATATATATATATGTGTGTGTGTGTGTGTGTGTATATATATATATATCTTTTTTTTTAAATCGTATTAACTTTACCAAGTGAAACCAAGCCATACTGTTTTTGAGCCAATTAAGAACATTGCAATTTTTAAAGTGTAGCACGTCAGAGTGCTGAATACACGGGAAATGACTCCCATGTATTCGGGACTACCAAAAGAAAAACGCCGTAAGGTTTTTGTTGGAAGTTTCAGTGTTGTCTGAAAAACCAGAGGGAAGGCAGTTGACTGATAGTAAGTTTAGAAGAACTGTACACACAAAAAAAAAGAGGGCCTAAGAGAGTGAGTAGTTTTGTCTTAAAGTAAAAATGTCTGGTTGCACCAGAACATGAAAGGAGATAGTAAAAGCTAAACTTGAGGGTGTGTAGTAAGTCGTAGAAGGCTTGGGGGAAGTGACTTTTATTTGCCTTGGTTTATGGGTTTGAAAGGAAACAATGAAATGTGTTGAAAATTTGACCATATTAGATCAGTTTTGGTGGATTTATTCACAAAAGGGGAAAAAAGACTAATGAATCTTTTCCTGTAAAGTGTTTCTGTTCAAATGAGGCATAGTATTTAAGGAAGGAAGACTAAAGCCCTGTGTCATGGCAGATCTATATTGGTGATCCACTCAAGTAAATGTTGACTATTATGTGAATTCTATCTGGCCAGTGGAAATGAAAATTGAAAAAGACTGTAAATAGATAATCCAATGATTTCTCTGTATAAATGAATTATACAATTAAAAAAAAAAGCACACACATAATCACCTTAAAGTTTTCTTGGCTGGTGGATATTGGGGGATATTTGCCAGGATGTGCTAGTTCAGTAGAAGAGGTATTGGCAAGCCTCACAAAAGTTTTTAAAAATCATAAACAAATCCTTGAAATTCATTGATAGTAAGGGAAAGACTGAATTATAAGGACAAGTTTTGTGAATTTCTTACACAATTTCTTAGAATACAGTATACTCAGAAATAGCTATTGGATTGAAGACCGCTGAACATGTAGCCACATTCTAGATAATATTAGTAAAGCTAATAGCGAAGCATCCTGATTAATTTCAGATTTTAATTTAAGTATCTCCGGTTTCTAAGTTTGGAAATGCAAAGTCAAAAGTGTAGGTTACATCAACCGTTGTGATCTGAAAAGTCAGCAAGATTTCTGATCATTTCTAGAGATGTTATATAGAATATTCTTTCCAAAATTACCTTGATCAGCTTCTGAGGTTACAGAAACAAGTTTAAATGCTATTAGTAGAATGATTTTTTTTTTTTTTATCAAAAGCTCTATTTTCTTTTGGTTCATACAAGGGAGAAAATAATTACATGGAAACTGAATAATTACATGGAATGAACACTTCATAAATTGCATCTATATTTGAGAGCATTTGATGATCCGGCTAGTAGTTTTCAAACCAGTACGGGCATCAGAATCACCAGGGGTGCTTTAAAAAAAAAAAAAAAAAAAAGTAAGTGGACCTACCCCTAACTCTTCCTGCAAATACCCATTTCACTGATTGAGGATCCCGGGGAGAAGGTGGTAGGAGTGAGGGCTGATCATTTGTATTTGTGAACACTGTAAACCCTCCCTCCTAGTAACTCTGATACAGCGAACTCCTTGGGCAGCACTTCCTAATCACGGATCCAGCCGATAGCCATTATGTACACGATCCACAGTATCAGTCTCTATCTACTGACTTCTCAGTTTGCCTCAAAACTACTCAGGCTCTGTTGAAGTAAGTCTTGATTTTTCTTTTCTTTGCCAACTTCTTTCAGTGAGTGTGCTTATATATTTTGAGCAAAGTTAGTCTCTGCTGGGGAAGGTCTTTTTAAACTCGGGGTGTGTGCACACAAGGTGGTAAAGGGAAGCTAAGGCTTCCACCCGCATTAACTCGGGCAGTCTGTGGGAAGCCGGTGTCCTTTGGTCACCCTGGAATCGTTGAGACGGACATTTCCTCGACTGATTCAGGTGACCAGTCACTTCTGTGCAGCTGGGTCTACTTTCCGTTCATGCTTTTCTCAATATGCAGATCTACCACAGTACTTGGTTATTCAGTGTGTGTGTGTATATATATATATATATATATATATATATATATATATATATATAACTAATATTACTAAATTAATTTTATAAACATCCGCAAATGCCTGGTTGAGGAAGGCTTCCATCTGTCAGTCTTGGTAGCTGAGATGCAGGCAAAGCGGACATCTTAAAGTTTGTCTTCATCATACTCATCAGTTAAAATTCCTGCCTGTCCCTAGAGATGAAACCGGCCTTCATTGTGCTCAGAAGTCCAAGGGATTCAAGGGACATGATACCTCAGTCTCCTTGGGCTTTTCTCAAGCAGCATTCAAGAATACCTATGAAAGAGTAAGTGTCTCTTTGTCCATTGAGCCTGATTCCCCTGAGGGAAGTGTCCTATCAAAGAAAATCTCCCTCACTTCAGAGGACTCCAGAGTCTCCTAGATTCAAAGGAATTTTGATTGTTGCCTGCATATTTGAACAACTCCAGAACCAGCCGCAAGTCTGAGGATGTCTCGGATGTAAGTGGTTCCTCAGGTCCACTCAGATATGTGATCTAGTTAGACCCTGAGTATTTTGAGACTCCAATACAAACTGTGGGCCCTCTTCCCCCCAAAAATGTATGTATGTATGTGTGTGTGTATATATATATACACACACACACACATGTCCACACAAATTAGGTTTCAGGGATATTCCCCGAACTTATCTATGGATCTGGAGTTAAGCTTTGCTCAAGTCTGTCCTGACCAGGACTTTGTTAGGGAAACATGGTATGGATTCTCACTTTGGAAAATCAAGAAACTAGAATAAAGAAATTGCCTCAAGGAAATAAAAAAGACTAAAGACTAGGAGAAAATATTTTCGAAAGACCCATCTGATACAGAACTATTAGCCAAAATACATCAAACCAACAACCACAAAAACTTCAAACTTTACAATAAGAAAATGAACAAACTAGTTAGACACTTCACTGAGGAAGATACACAGGGGACGGGCCCAAGAAAAGATACTCCCCATCATGCAGCATCAGGGAAGCAAACGTTCAAACAAGATTCCGCTCCAGCGTGTTGGAATGGTGAGACCCAGGCCGCTGGCAACCCCAAACACTCATTCTGCGCGACTGGAACGCAAAATAGTGGGGCTATTTGGAAGACCCTTTGGCTGTCTCTTACTAAACTACAAACTACAACCTACCATATGGCCCCACAGTCATGTTCTGGTGTTTAATCGAAGACGTTGAAGACTTAAGTTCACACAGAAACTTGCACATGGATTCTTATAGCAGCTTTATTCATAATTGCCAGAACTTTGAAACAGCCAAGATGCTTTTCTTGGTGATGAATAAGTAAACTATGGTGCATTTAGGCCTAAATAAGATATTCCAGCACTAAAAAGAGATGAGCTATCAAGCCCCGAAAAGACAGGGAGCGATCTTTAATGCGTGTTACGAAGGGAAAAAAAAACAATCTGAAAAGGCTACACACTATAGGATTCCAGCTTCATGACATTCTGGAAAAGGTCAGAGACAGTAACCATCAGTGGTTGCCAGGGGGTGGGGGTTGGGGACAGGGTTTTTAGGGCAGTGTGTGTGATACTATAAGGGTAGAGACATGTCATTGGGTATTTGTCCAAACCGACAGAATGTGCAACACCAGGAGTGAGCTCTAATGTCAGCTGTGGACTGTGGGTGATGGGACAAGGTAGGTTCACTGACCGCTGTCCCACTCTGGTGGGGGATGTTGCTTGTAGGGGAGATGTGGGTGTATGGAAGCAGAGAGTAATGGGAAATCCACACTTCCTGCCCAATTTAGTTGTGGACCTAAAGCTGTACTTAAAAAGTCTATTTTTGAAAAAAAGATAAATCACCTGGGCCCAGAAAAAAATGTGCAATTAGGAATATATACCTTTCAAGTCCTATCTACAGAGACCAAAATTGGAATACTACTATAGATATTCTTTTTTTTTTTTTTTAAAGATTTTATTTATTTATTTGACAGACAGAGATCACAAGTAGGCAGAGAGGCAGGCAGAGAGAGGAAGGGAAGCAGGCTCCCTGCTGAGCAGAGAAGCCCGATGCAGGACTCGATCCCAGGACCCCGAGATCATGACCTGAGCCGAAGGCAGAGGCTTAACCCACTGAGCCACCCAGGCGTCCCTACTATAGATATTCTAAGACATCGGATTTAAATGCTCAGCAAAGAGAAAAGTGACCTGTGTGTCTGGATGTCTGGGCCACAAGCCTTTGCTCTCAAACCACACCTGCTTAGAGAAATTCTATGTCTAGAGGCCAGGATCTCAGTCAGGTTCCAACACCAGGCCCGGCCACCCAGAGCAGGGCACCTCCAGCCCCAGAAGAGTCAGGATCTCGGGCATAAAGGTGTCTGAAGCCAGTCCTCTCCTCCACTCACAGGGGAAAAGGCAAGCCAGGCAGAAGGTAGCAGAGTCAGCAGCAACACCCAAGCCGGGTGGGGAGGGGAGCTCCCAACTTGGTTTGTCCTACCCCAGTTGAGTCAGATTGGAGTTGGACTCTGTTTTTAGCTAACCTGGGGTCCACCAACGTGGGGCAGAGGCCCTGCCTTTGCACCTCTCCCTTCCCTCCTCTACCTTTGGTGGGCAAAGAAAGCAGGGCCTGTCCTCCATCTACCATGACCCGCCCCCCAAAGGCTTCATACGACCCTGGCCCTCACCCCGGGAGGGTTGAGGGTGAGATGGGGTGCCAGGCTGCACCCCTCCAGTTGGCCGGTT